TACAGAGCTAGGGTACAGGCCAGAGGTATAGGGGCGGTGAGAGGATTCACCAGAGACAGAGTGGGGAGCAGAACAGGCAGATCAAGGAAGTACACTGCTGAGGGGGCGGATCAGGAGAGGTCTGCCACACCCTGTGGTCATCTCCGGGGCAGGTGGGAATTGAACTCATGCGGAAGTGGTTTTAGATTCTCAGTGCTGAAGTGGTTTTAGATTCCCACTGCGCCAGCAGGGAGGGCCAGAGATGTGATGATTCTTAACACATAAATATTTTTCTCACATAATGAAAAGTCTGAAGGTAGTCAGTTGCTGGTATTTTGTGTTTTATTATGTTAGCCTTTTCCCATGATCTCAAGATGACTACTAGACCTCCAGTCAACAAAGTTACTCAGTTACTTCTACTTGTATATTCCTATTAACAGCAGAAGCTAGGAAATGACATTTTTCCTTAGACATGGTATCTAAAGTTTTGTCACAAAAGGAATGGATACTGGAGTTACAGCTAGCAGTTTTTAATCACAGAAACTAGTTATTAATCTGGATAGACAGGCAGGAATGCAAAACCATCAGTATGTTCGGGTGGGCTAGTATGGGTGATACAGTTGAGAAGAGGGTAGGATATGGCAAGCAGCAGCTGAATTTTAACAAATAGATAAGAATTAAAGTACCAAGTAGGTACAATTAAATAATTATAACATCAACAACTGAAGGAAGTGGACAATAAAGCCACCAGAAATTTATAGGATGACTTATTTTTTTAAAGATTTATTTATACATACAGAGGTCAGAGGTACAAGGGTGTTGAGAGGATTCACCAGAGACAGAGTGGGAAGCAGAACAGACAGATCATTGAAGTACACAGCTGAGGGGAGCAGCGGGTGGGTTAGGAGAGGAGAGGTCTGCCATGCCATGTGGGTCAGTTCCTGAGTGGGGATTGAACTCCACCGAGGAGCAGCAGCTAGCTTCCTAGGCTGCGCTTTAACCTGTTGTGCTTCCTGGGAGGACTCTACAGGGTGACTTAAAGCTCCACAGGATTTTTGGATAATGCACTACTACCTTACATACTTTCTTTCTGAGCAGCAGCCAATTACCAAAAACAAAATACTAGTAGCAGATAATACCAGGTGGAAGACAGTACACCTTTGATTTTAGTGAACTTTCAAGGCCACAAAATTGACTTTCCAAGTTTCATATTTATTTTAATCCTCTGATATACAAAGACATAGAAGAAGCTGTTTGAAGTAAAATGAAGCTTCTAACCAGAACAGAGTGTCATGTAGTATGAAAGGAGTGTTTTCATTCTCACTTGTGAAAATTTCCATTGCACTCTTTTCTGTTAATACTAACCAGTTACAACAAGACATACCCCCAATTAATGTGAGGATCCTTCAGTGAAAGGGTGGACATTCCTGCTGGTTCTTTCCAGACTCTAGACTCAAAAATAGCAAAGAATGTCACAGCGTAGTGTTCAGAGTTCAGAGCTTATACTGATGATTTAGAATACTTGGTTTCAAAGCTCAACTCTTAATGTTTACCCGATATGTGATCTTGAGCAAGATTAGTTAACTAGTGGTTCACAAAAGAGGGCATTTTATCCCCCTTAAGGATATATCTGGAGATAGCCTTGGTGTCAGAACTGGGATGGGGAAGGGAGAGGTATGTTAAACATCTTACATCCTGTGCACAGGACAGCCCCCCACAGCAAAGACTTATCCAGCCCAAAATGTCAGTAATGCTAAGGTTGTAAAAGCCCAGTTTAACCGTACCAAACCTTTCATTTCTTTTATGATTTGGGCTAGTTATATTTGTTTTTGTGATAGCTAAATGAAATAATCCAAATCTTATGCTTAGCATAGTGCTTGGCACATAAGTGATCTATTATTCATATAAATTATTGTTATCATCATCATCCTCATCATCTAGTACCAGTTTGAATATTTAGATTTAAAATCATTTCATATACCACATGCAACCATAGTGTTAGGGAAATCAGTTTGCTTCTTTCCTGAATCAAATGAAAAATTCTAAAGAAAAAAAAAAAAAAAAAAAAGAAGGGTTTGGGAACAGAAGAGGCCCCTTATAGAGTCAAAGAAGTTAATGAATCAATAATTAGAATAATTAGATGATCACTGTGCATTTTTTGTAAGTTCTAAGAAGATGATCATGTAAATCACTTTCTTCATGTTTATATTATTCTTTTCTTTTTCGCCTTTTTATATCATATTGTACAGTTATGCCTCCTTTCTTTTCCATGTCTTTTGGAGTCTCAACTATTTCAATATTTCCTGGTTATCAAAAATTTGGGACCTGTTCAAATAATAGAAGCATTGTTCAAGACAGTGAAAAAAGTTATGCTGCCATTATATTTTATTTAAATGAACTGCTGAAATGCTAGCTAAATTGCCAAACCTATAATTATCATTTAATAATTATACTAAGAAATACTCTAAACCACTAAACTTTACTTATTAGCCATAAATTCATTCATACTGCAATGATATAAATAATTCTTTCAATTTTCAAGGCAAACGCAATAGGCCGAAGTGCTAAAACTGTTCGAGAATTTCTAGAAAAGAATTACACCGAAGATGCTATAGCAAATGACAATGAAGCTATAAAATTGGCAATAAGAGCTTTGCTAGAAGTAAGTGACCTAATAAAGCATATTCAGAAAAGCAAGGTTTTTTTTTTTTCTTATCCAACCACTTAACCAATGAAATTTACTGAAGTGATTCTAAAACTACACTTGTTTTACATTAGGTTGTCCAGTCTGGTGGAAAAAACATTGAACTTGCTATAATAAGAAGAAACCAACCTTTAAAGGTAAGTCATTAATCAAAGAGAAAAAGAATATCTGAGCCTCAAGTATTTTGACAAAATTTTAAATGTTGCTCACACCTGTGATTCATCATTGTAAGCCCGAAACATACCCTGACACTATGACAACTTGGATTTTGTTTCAGTAGACTAATATATCCACTGGCTTGCATGTGCTTAATTGCCTTACCCTACACCTCAGTGAAGACTTAGATGTTATGAAAACTACTATATTTATATAGGTCTATCCCATTTAGCCTATGTTCTTGTAAGTAGGAACCCCTGAGTCACTCCTGTAGGAGTCACTGTAGCATATTCTCTGTGCCGATTCATTTCTAGTAGCATGTAGAAAGCAGTTACTCTGTCTTTTATCATCTTCTGAAGTCAAGATAGCCATTGTTGTTTTGACACCATATTCCCATATCTTATTAGTCAATCAGTGATGAAGACTTGGGGATAGGAGAGCAGCTAAGAGTCTATGATAAGAGAATGGTACAGGGCTGTGGGTCTGCCTGTACTAGACACCACATGAAAATCCATGTGTATAAGGGGAACTAAGTCATATTGTCATCCCTGCTGCCAAGAGCCCAGGGACATGCCAACACCAATTAATCACTAAGGCCAGCGTTCTCTCTTCTGTCACAGACAGATATGATGTGCACCTGTCTAGACAGACACACACACCAGTTACACGTATATTTTTACTTCTGAGTGATAGGATGGTATGTATACTGCCAACATTGTTACACTAGTATTCCACATTAATATCACAGGATAGATTGTGTGGTGATTTGGAATTGGATTGACCTGAGTTTAAGTTCCAACAAATCCATTTCTCTCATGCTATGACCTTGAGCAAATTGATCCCATCTTTGATTATTAATAAAATAAAATTGATTTAAGCAAAAACTCTTTTGGCTTTCTACTTTGTGAAGAGGTTTGTAAGCAAAGCAGCATAAGTGATCTTTCTTCTACTCTTTTGAATATTCTGTGAGCTGATAAAATAGTCAAACCCTATCAGAGAAGCATATCTCAGTGGGGCTAAGGTGTGTTTAGTAGTAAGTTATTTGCTCATAAATAGAAATAGCTTTGCATTAATGTATTTTCAGAATTTCATGCATGCATTGGGTTTGTAATATGGATCACATTTTGCACTACGTTGTTTTTTTAACATAATAATAATGGAAACGACAGAATTATGTTTTGTAAATAATTATTCTAAGAATGTTGCTTTTGTATAATAGAAACAAATCTTGAAATCAGTGAAAGAATGTAAAGATTACCAGAGGGAAGGAGGAGGGGTGGATAAGGGCACAAATGATTTGGTGGAGGTTGTGGAACATATACACATAGAGGAAAATAAATAATTTTTTTTATATTGAATTAATTTTTTTTATTACAAAAGTTTATTTTTACATCATTTTGTACATTTTTTTTCCATCTCAATTGTAATCCCCGTGGTTTCCCATCACCAAGTCACCCATGTGCCATCACCATAATACCATGCATTTCCCTCCCCCCACCCCGTTTTTGATCCCATTCCCCACTCCACCCCCACAAAATGTCTCTGGTATATGGTTGTTCATTATTTTTGTTATTTTCCACCTGGTCCATTATACTTCTGCTATGAATGAAACCACCCAGTATTTTTCTTTCTCTTTCTGGCTTATCTCACTAAGCATGATCTTTTCCAGTTCCATCCAAGTTGCTGCAAAAGACATGTGTTTCTCTTTTTTGGTTGCTGAGTAATATTCCATTGTATATATGTACCACATCTTTTTTATCCAGTCATCTACTTTTGGGCATCTCGGCTGCTTCCATGTTTTTCCAATTGTAAATAAAGCAGCAATAAACATGGGGGTACAGGTATCTTTTTCAACCAGTATTTTTGTGTCTTTTGGGTAGATACCTAGGAGTGGGATTGCTGGGTCGTAGGGAAGCTCCATGTTTAGCAGTTTGAGGAACCTCCAAACAGTTTTCCATAGTGGTTGTACTAGTTTGCATTCCCACCAGCAGTGCAGGAGAGTTCCTTTTTCACCACATCCTCGCCAACATTTGTTGTTGCTAGTTGTTTGAAGATGTGCCATTCTCACTGGGGTGAGGTGGTATCTCATTGTGGTTTTAATTTGCATCTCCCTTATTACGAGTGATGGTGAACATTTTTTCATATGCCTGTTAGCCATCTGCATTTCCTCTTTGGAGAAGTGTCTTTTTAGCTCTACTGCCCATTTTTTGATGGGGTTGTTTATTTTTGTTGAGTTTCATCAGTTCTCCGTATAAAATAAATAATTTTTAAAAAACAAGTAGGGAGCCTCCCTGGTGGCACAGGGGTTAAAGACAGCACTATCAAGCTATCGACATCTACTGCAGCATATGAGTTTGATTCCCACCCAGGGAGCTAACCCACATGACACAGTAGACCTCTCCTGTCTCATCTACTGCTCCCCTCAGCACTGTATTACAGTAGATCTGCCTGTTCTGCCCCCCCACTCTGTGTCTGGTGAATCCTTTCACCATCCCCAACCCCCCCCCCACCATCCTCTGGACAATATACCCCAGTTCTTGTATGTATAAATAAATAAATCTCTAAAATTAAAAAATATAAAACAATTATGTTGTTTTTGAATCTCTTAAACCATTTCACCGTGTATTTGAGTTATAAAATATAAAGTTATAAGTAGAATTATAAACTTATAAAACATATTTACAAATGGTTGCTATAATTGAAACTTGCTTTTGACATTTTTTTCTCTTTTCAGATGTTTAGTGCCAAAGAAATTGAATTGCAGGTAACTGAAATAGAAAAGGAAAAGGAAGAAGGAGAGAAGAAAAAATTAAAGAAGACTGCTTGATTCTTAGGGTAAACACTGCAAAGTTTTCTTTTTTGTTGTATTGCTTGGAATGATTTAGTGAGGTTGTAAAGGAAATAAGTTGATTTGTGGCATTGCATTTAGTTATATGCTGCTTTGAGAATTCTGTCAAAACTTTTGGCTATCTTCAGTATGTTATATGAACAAATACAAGCTAAACAAAGATTCTCTATGAAAAAAGATATCAGCAATTATTGAAAGCATTCATAATTCTACATAAGCCCGGAGAGTATTCTAAAACTTGTTCAGTGTATTACTTTTCTTCACATAGGGCAGATTTAATTAAGAAAAACTTCTAAGTTGGAAAAAATTAATAATTTGTTAATGTTTAGGTATCAGTAAAGAGTTCCAAATAAACTATTGAGTTGTATTTATAGAAGAATGGTAAAACCATCCTTATGTTTATGAATCATCAAAATTTTGTCAAAATCTTCTTCATTAAAAATATTTAACCACAATTATTTCACTGCTTTCCTTTTATAAATTATAGTATATCAGTTTATTCATGAAACAAATATTAAAAGCCTGAGACAAATAGTTAAGTAAAGTAAAATATGTAAAATAGATTATTAAAGTAGGTGAACAGGGTAATATATACAAATTAGAGTAGTAAGTACATGTTGATCTTGATATTGATTTGAATTATATATTAAATATGTCCAGTGTGTTAGGTTTATTTCATGTTCCATCAAATATCTCAGTGCCTGCTATGTGCTTGGCACTGTGCTAGGCTTAGTAGAGCTAAAATTTAAAAAAAAATTTTTTAAATATAAAAAGTATCCCTGCCAACAGAAAGGATTTGATCCAAATGTGCTTAATGCCTATAATGAGATTATATTTTGAAAATAGATTATTAATAAGCATAAAAGCAAAATCCCATTTATCATGTTGGTTTAGAGCTTTGTCTTGTTTTTTAATGTTCTTTTTGAAAACAGGGAAGAGAGTTGAATTTGTACAGGGGAATGAAAAACACATAGGAGGCAGTAAGGAAAAGAATCAGTAAGGAAAAGCAGCTATCTTAAAACCAGCCAAGTCATTGGTGTTTCACATTAGCACTGTGAAGCGAAGTCAATGGAACAAGCAGAATGAGAATTTTACAGCTACAGTGACCTGAGAAGGGCAACTCACTGCTATTCATCTTGGGCCAATCTGTATTCTGTTTTGACTTGGGCCTTTGACTGCCTTTCTGATTTCCTTGGAACCATGAAACCTCATGAGGTTTCTGGAAAACTTTGAATCAAAGCCAAGTACCTGTTCCCTATTACCTTCTAGCCCTGCTTAGCATCCAGAAGCTAAGATACAGAAATAGAAAGTTTGGGAAGCAAACTTTAAAATGTTTCCCAAATATTTTACCACTTTGGGAGAAAATAAACATGTCTTGGATAATAATCCAATTCATTCTCTTTCACCACAGACAGCACCAGAAGGCAAGATGCATACATTACCCTGTATTGCAATGAACCCAGCATGGACTATCAATACTCTTAGTACATGGCTTAGCAGTGTGCATGCACCTTCTGCCTAGAACTCATCATGCCATAATGAAAATATCTGTTGGATGTTCTTATTGGACAAATACCAAGTTTAATTACAGATGCCATGTTAGATTTTAGGGATACAGTGATTTTAAAAAAAGAGATATTTTTGTTATTACTGTGTAGGGAGAAGGTAGATATTAAACACAAATGATTATAATTATAGTTGGAATTAGTGCTGTGAAGCTGTTTCTGTTTTCCCTAGTAATCTAGAAGCTCTTTTAGAGGTAAGGCTGGGGCCCATGTCTCTTTCATCTTTGTTTTCACAGCTTTACCTATTGTTAGACTTAATGTATGTTGGTTGAGCTAGATTAGCTTGAAAATTGTTGTAAATATCAGATATTAGGAAGAAGGGGGAGGGTTAGTCATAGAGTCTAAACTCACTTAGGTAGGAGTCCGCTTCCTAATCTTTTTTGTCCTTATTGAACATTATAATGAAGACACCACATAATCAATAAATATATCTTGTACACAGGACCTTGTAACGTAGATACAGATCCTGGTTAATAAAAATGGGACTTTCAGGAAGAAAGAAATATGTCGTAATGCAAGATATGACCCTAGGATACTCTGAAGTAATTTGAAGGGGCACTCGCCTACTACTCATCCCTGATTGAACATTCTTGAACATTCTCTTTGTGCCATGTACCAGAAAGGAATAAGAATCTGGCCCTTATCTCGAAGTGATTATAGTAACCAATAGTTGAGCCCATTCTTACAAATTATATAAATAATGAAGGTATATTTCCTTTACATTATGTGAATTTACTGTGGAGAATTTGCTAGCGGTTTCTAAAGTAATTTAAATTGCTAGTATATATGTATAACACATAATGTCAAACCTTTTATTTTAATATTTAACTTTTTTCTTTTTTTATGAATAATATAATAGTTTATTTTTATATCATTTTGTTCATTTTCCCATCTCAGATGTAATCCCCTTGGGCTTCCCATCACCAAATCACCCATGTGCCATCACCATAGTCCAGTGCATTTCCCTCCCTCCACTGTTTTTGATCCCATTCCCCACTCCACCCCCATAAAATATCTCTGTGATATAGCTGTCCATTATTATTATTATTTTCTCGCCTGGTCCGTTATACCCCTGCTGTGAGTGAAACCATTTGGTATTTTTCCTTTCCTTTCTGGCTTATTTCACTAAGCATGATCTTTTTTAGCTCCATACAAAAGACATGTGTTTATTTTTTTTGCTTGCTGAGTAATATTCCATTGTGTATATGTACCACATCTTTTTAATCCAGTCATCCATTTTTGGGCATTTGGGCTGGGCTGTTTCCATGTTTTTCCCATTGTAAATAAAGCAGCAATAAACATGGGGGTACAGGTATCTTTTTGAATCAGTGTTTTTGCATCTTTTGGGGAAGATACCTAGGAGTGGGATTGTTGGGTTATAGGGAAGCTCCATGTTTAGCAGTTTGAGGAACCTCCAAACAACACCAAATCTTTTAAAAAAGGAAATGAGACCTATTTTGTGGGTTAATAAACCAAAAACTCTGTATAAAAACAGGACAGTCTCGAATGGATTTGACTACAAATAAGTATAATGCAATACTATTGTGAACCATAACTCATCTGTGTGGATCCCATGTTTCCTCTCTGGTGGAATAGTAACATATCACCCAAATGGTGTGGTTGTATTTCACTCTCATTTTATTTAGCAAGGACACATATAGCATTTACTACCCGCCTGGACATGGTGGCGTATCTGGGGTTTTCTCCTGAAAAGGTTTTCTTCATGGGATGAGGGACTCGGCCATTCTTCCAGCCACCTTCCTCATGGCAGCCAGGGTATGCCTCAGCTCCCCCTCTGCCTCTTGGGTGTGGTTGTGTGTCTTCGCACTTCTCTTGAACTCAAAGGCCTGCCTGCCTTTGGAGAACATGGGCAGCTCCATGGCATACTGCTCACAGGCTGCAAAGCCACAAACTCGAAGTGCTCAGGGAGACACTTTTGCTCAGCCTTTCACACATTTGGCCACCTGAGGCCCATGGCCATGAGGGAGTGAAGAATCAGGGTTGCTGCTCCATAGGAGCTGCTGCAGGAGAAAGCTTATTCAGTTTTTTTTTTTTTTTGAAGATTTATTTATTTTTGCACACAAGAGCTGGAGTATGGCCAGAGGTACAGGAGGATGAGACAACTCACCTGAGAGAGAGCAGGGAGCAGAACAGGCAGAGGTACTGAAAAACACTGCTGAGGGGAGCAGCAGGCGTTTAAGAGGTCTGATGTGCCATGTGAGTCACCCCCCTGGCCAGGGACCACACTTGTGCTGCAGTGGCTGTGATAGCTTCCTCGTACTGAGACTGAATCCAGTGGGCTACCCGGGAGGGCCCATGTTCAGTTCTCTGCACAGCTCCTATGAGACACATTCTATAGTTTTTGCCCATGGTGCTGAGGCTTCTAGTCTTTTGTCATCATAGCTGTCCATCAAAAGGGACAAGTTTTTCCCATATCTTCCACACGTGTCTTTCCAATGAGAAGAAAGAGGTTTTTATACCATGGGCTTTCTTTCTCTGTAATGAGCATCAAGGTCTGATTCCTTGAGGCTCGACTACTTCATTTTACTTTGGAAATTTAAGTATTATTTTGTTCAGGTTTTGTTGATCTACACAAAGTGCTTTAATGGGAAGTTTTAGCCAAAACATAACATCACTACTATTTAAAGTGTTATTTTTACTTCTTTTACTGAGAGAAATGTCCTCAGTATGCAAGCACTTTGTGTTTTTTTCCTGCCTCGAATCTCAAGTTGAGATAATCACAAACATTCGGTTTTAGGAATAGCTAAACAACTCTTTTCCATCATTGGGTTATGGTTAATTAGACAGTTTGAAAACCTCTTACTATGGGCATAGAAATGCTGGATAAAATCTTAACAAACATCCTTTTAAATGCATAGCTGTGCTAAAGAAGTAAGGGAAATCCACAGAGGCCACAAACAAAAAGGGATTTGAAAATCAGAGAAGGCATTTAAGTAGATGCTGATGCTGCCCAATATTGGCACAATGAATAAGCAAACAATGAATGAGAGAGCCTATACACACATTCTGCACCTCCCCCTTTCCCTCCTTCCTTAATAGTATATTTGCTTATGGCAGCCAGCATTACATATCAGTGGTAAATAATAGCTCTTAGTAAGTGGTAATAATTTACCAGGTAAAAGAGCATGCTCAGACCCCTCAGTCTGATCCCACTCCCACCCCCACAAAGCAGGCAGGTAAGTTAGAAGTATAGCAGCTGCAGCTCACTGCTCCTATGACTGGGAATCAGAGATGAATCAAGAGGTCCTGAACCCACATTGGAGAAAGGATTCTTGAGACCCTCTGATCAAGAAGGAAAACAAGACTCCGGAGACACCAGTGAAGGCAGACAAGATGTCAGAGTTCACTGATAGCGAAAGAACAAAAAAAGTAAATGCCAGGGAGACCTCTGAA